CATTATAATATTTAGAACTTAAATCGAATAGGGGTGCAATGAGGTCCAACCGGACCGATGAAATGTACCAGTCTATTGTCCAAACGATGGATGCTATTTTAAATCCCGTATCAGTAATTATACAGGTCGAGTCACCGTTTCAACCGATTTTATCTTTAGTTTGCTTATATCAATAAATATTTAAATTAATTTATAATTATATTATAAATAATGTATAAAACTAACTTTAATAAATACTAAAATGAAATAAAATCTAATGACAATATAAATAAATTTAAACTAAGTGTAAAACTTTCAATTTATGTAAATATATTAATGAAAATATATTAAATAAATTTATGTATTTAGAAAAAAGGTATACCTAATATTTGAACTAGTATTTTTGCCGGTATTTTTCGGTAAATTCGATATTTTCCGATGTGAAACAGTATAACCTAGTATTTTGGCCAAACTGGTATTTAATGGGTAACAGTACCAACCAGATAACTGGTATTCGGTACGGTATGGTATTTAAACCATTGGGTGGATGTTTAATTGTTTATGCATTAATATGTTTAGCATTTATTTTTTTTATTTATAATTCATATTTTACATTTATATATTATATATATAAAAATAAAAAATTATAAAAGCTATAAAAAATTTAAATTATTATTGATGTTATATATACATTCATATTATTATATATTATTAATTAAAGGAAGCTGAAATATGATTTGGAGGGAAAAATTGGTATTTTTGTTAAAGATAAAGTTATAGTTGTGGTAGGGGTTGGCAGCCTCCCACATTGCTTTTTCCATTACTTTAGTGACCCAATTCTCTTTTTGTTCTATTATATATCAAAAACTCCCTCAACTTCTGAGTCCTTCCCTTTTACAATTTGGGTAGCTTCATTTTTATTCCTTTTTCCTTCCTTTGGCTCTTCTATATAATTCAAGGCCTCCCTCTCTTTCCTCCCTTTCCTTCTCTCTCTCAATCGGTTCGACTTTCGACCTCTGATTTTTTTTTCCTGAATTAATCTTGCTATAGATCAACTAGTTTCGTTCAACTAGTTGAATCGTTTTAGGGCCTTTGTTTTTGTGCAACTCATGTGTATATAATTTTTTGTGTTTTTGAGGGGGATCATTTCAAAATTTGATTTACCATAAGAAAGTGTTAAGTATAAATATATATATATATAAGGAGGAGATTGTCGTTTTCGATATATGGCACCGGTTTCATTGCCTCCTGGATTTCGATTTCATCCAACGGATGAAGAGCTCGTGGCTTATTACCTCAAAAGAAAGATCAATGGCCGAAAAATAGATCTTGAAATCATACCAGAAGTTGATCTCTACAAGTGTGAACCATGGGACCTTCCAGGTGCACTTGAAGTATTGTATATATATGTTTATAATTTTTATATATTGATCTTATATATTGCTAATTAATTAGCCATGCATTCCGTAAATTATAGGTTAATTGGTAGCTAAAACGATAGTTGTGCTAGTTACAACAACGATATTTTAGTATCATATACTTTGATTATAATCATGGCTAAGAATGGAGCAAGATTGAAGAAAGTAACTATCAAGAAAGGTATAATGAGAAAACCCCCCGTTCAAGATTAATGAAGCTCATCATGATATTAATGGCAATAAACTGAAAAATAAAAATAAATTTTTTCAAGAATAATCATAATATGCATAATTTGTATTCATATGTATGTATGCATGGATATGTTTTTTTTTTTCTTTTCATAATGTGATCAAAGCTTGTGGCAAAATATATAATAAGCTTTATCTGCAAGGGTAGCAACTTTAATACATGAAGACCTTGACGAAAAAGTAGTATGGTCCCAACATCATCTTTCTAGGTCCAAATTTACCATAAGAAGAGAAAAATAATAAGAAATTATATTTAAGCACAAAATCATGCATGCAAGATTTTCTACTGCAAGTCATAGAACATATTTCGAAAAAATACTCATTGAACACAATTCTTGAGAGGTTTTATGTGCTCATCAAAATATATTTCTCAATTCTCATATACCTATAATTTAATAAATTATAATTTCAACCATATACACAAATATATGTGGCTATGAAGAGAACATAGAGAATACCGATCTATAAGAGAGGGTCAAAAGAAAATTAGCTTACTTTTAACATTAATTAATTAGCTAATTAGCCTTTTCTATTAACTACATATAAATACTCATACACATACTTAATTAGTATTTGAGCCTAAAAATACTATCTTGTGATTGAGTGCAGGAAAATCATTATTGCCGAGCAAAGACCTCCAATGGTACTTCTTTAGCCCGCGAGACCGAAAGTACCCAAACGGGTCAAGGACAAATCGGGCAACAAAAGCCGGATACTGGAAGGCCACCGGCAAGGACAGAAATGTAAATTCGCAAATGAGGGCTGTTGGCATGAAGAAAACCCTAGTGTATTACAGAGGAAGGGCGCCTCATGGGTCTCGAACGGATTGGGTCATGCACGAGTACCGTTTAGACGAAAAAGAATGTGAAACTCCCATAGGCTTGCAGGTTCATCAAATTAAAACTTCCTATTCTTGGCTCTTTATTAGTTTCTCCTCAAATTTTGATTGTCATTTCTATTGGTTGAATTGTATTTTTAGTCCTGTCATAGCATTTGTAGTCTCAAGATTTTAACATTTGTTTTCTGGTCATGTGATCTAATATTTTACTGCAATTTCAGTTTTTTGGGGACTGAAATTAGGTGACAAATTTCCTAATGTATAGATTTTTTGTAAAGAATTTAAGTCATATAATTTTAAATTTGTTGCAATTTCAGTCATGTTGTTTAAAATTTTGTTGCAGTTTCAGTCCTTTGAGGATTGAAATTGTAGCAAAATATTAAATCATAAGACAAAAAATTAGAACCTTAGGGACTAAAAATTGCTATAGTGTTAAACCAACAAAACTAAAAATGCATTTTTTCGTTTTGCATTTATTTGATTTATTATGGTAAAAAAAGGTTCAGGACGCTTATGCCCTTTGCCGCGTGTTCAAGAAAAGCTTGAACATCCCGAAAATCGGCAACCATTATAACATTGCCTCGGCCAGTGACCGGTCCTCAAGCATCGACCTACATTGTGATGGAAAGTACGAAAATGACCCTATGAACATAATCGGCTCCTCATCGAATGATTTGACATGGTCGCAATACTTATCAGACGACCCATTTACTTTCACCAATAATCCGTACTCCAATCCATCACCCGTGATACCTTATCCACCCTCAAAGGTACAAATTTAACTTCTTCTTTTTTTCAAAATTTGTTACATTATCACAAAAATTACATTTATACAATTACAAATATTCCCTAATTTATTTATTTTTAACTAGTACGTAGCCCGTGCGATGCACGGGGCATAAGTATTAAATGAGTCATTTCCACAGAGTTTGTCCGTTAAGTAACTCCTGCGATTCACGGGAGATATTGAATGAGTGGACCATAGGGCTTGTCCGTTTAGGCCTAAAAAATAATAGAGTCTGATCATTTATCTTTTTACATCTTTTCATCAACGTCATTTTTTTTGTCGAAACATTAAACCTGAGTCTGGTAGCGCAAGCCCGTATATTAATTAATATATTATCTCGCTCACATGTTTATAATAATATAAATTTGATTTCATTATATATATATATATATATTCCTTGATATAAGAAAAATAACAATTTTACGTAATCTTGTTCTTCGTATAATACTTATATTATTTTATTATAAAATTTATTGTAATATAATTTCATTATTATTATTTATGCAAGTTAAATATGTAGTCTTCTTCTTCTTTTTGTTTTATATAATTAAAATATTTAATAAATGTTCATATTATTTATAAATGTAATTAATTTAAATTATGTAAATAAATTTAAAGTAAAACATTTTGTACAAACATTTTACAAAATATACACAAATATTTTTTACAATTTTTTTTTTATAATAAATTAACATCTTTGAAATTAAACATCAGTGCTATAAATTCGAAATCATAATTGAATTCTATGCAATTAGTAATTCTGTCCGATGTTATGAGAAACAAATAATTCAGAAATGATTATATGTAAGTTGAGATAAAATGAAATGTATCAAAAAAAATCTGCTTATGATACTTTCCTTTAAATGTTTGAATGAATTTGAAATTTAAATTACAAATCAACCTCCAGTTATTCAAATAATTTCAAAAAAGTTACCAATTGTAGTAAAATGTATGTGACAATATATTATAAATGTACATGACGTCAGTAATGTTATGAATCTTTAAGTTTCTAAAATATATATTGTTTAAATATGAAACTAATTAACTTATATGTTAAGAAAATATATATAAATATATGTATTGTACGAAATATACGCGTGACAAGTTATTATATTTGTTTATATATTGTTTGTATTGTTATTATATTTGTATATAAATATATTGTTTATATATTTTTTTTGTATTGTACGACAAATTATTATATTTGTTTATATATTGTTTAAATATATATTGTTTAGATATGAAACTAATTAACCTATATGTTGAGATAATATATATATAAATATATGTATTGTATGAAATCTTCAACGTGTTTGTTAAATTTTTCCCCTAAAAAATTCAAAATACATTTAGGCATGTTTTGTTTGAAGTTTGAAATTTAAATATGCATCTATATAACAAATCCCATGATTTATGCTAGCATTAAATGCTACTTGATTTTTTATTAAAAAAATTAAAAAAACATACCAAAAATGGAATGCAATTAATGTTCCCTATTTTTTTGTTTACTATTTTTGAAAAATGTTAATTCTTATTATATATATATAGATTTATACGAACATTTTCGACTAGGTTGACATAGCATTAGAATATGCAAGGTTACAAAATCGTTTAATTACTCTGCCTCCATTGGAAGTCAATGACTATTCGCAGGATGATTTTGCCGATAATCGGACAATGGGGTCGAATTCGAGTCTTTTCCATGGGAATATTATTACAAATCAACAGCCAGATATTGTGCAAGAGATTCTTTCAATTGCTCAAGTTTCTAATGATATTCAAAACGATGAGGCTGGAATTTATGCACCGGTCGATGATTTTTCAGCTTTTCTTCATGGTAGCCAGCTGGCACCACCTGATATGAGTTCATCCCAATACATTGAAATTGGTGATGAAAGAGATGAAATTTTCCAGACTGTTGGGAGAATGGATGAGAATTTGAGATGGATTGGAATGTCTGATGAGGAACTTGAAAAGGTTTTTTTTTTTTTTTTNTATAGTACTAATTAACTTAATTATGTCTGTTTATTTTATTTATTTATTTATTATGTTTATGACAGGCATTTTCAGATGATTTCAAGACAGTTCCAATAGAGAATTTCTCCAATATCCAGAGAGAATACCAAGATTTTGAAGGTTTGTCAATTGTAAATAATTAACATTGATTTTATAATCCTAATTTTATATTAATCTACCTAAGCCTTATTATTTATAATTTGAACACTTAAACATTTTCATGATTTAACCCATGTGCAGGAGAAACAAGCAACAACCACAACTTCGAAGTGTACGAGAAGATCGAAATCAATCGCGGGTTGCTTGTTTCGACCCGACAAGTGCCTAATACATTTTACCACAAAGTCGTGCCTTCTAAGACGGTCAAAGTCCACATAAACCCCACAATGGTGCATCTGGGCTCGATGGATGTTTCTAAAAATGGAAGCTTTTCGGCAAATTTGGTGCCATTTTCAAGAAATATGGTGAGGAGCATGAGCTTGAAGATTATGAAGTTTGATGATAGTGTTGAAAGAGGGAGCTTATGTGGTGAAGTGAAATTGTTTTTGAAAAAATTGTTTTTGACTTTTCTAATTATTTTTTAAATGATTGAGAGAGAAATTGTAACATTATGGAACTACTTTTTAGTCAATTATAATTGTAAAATGTAGAGAACTCCTTCATGGAGTCCATATACGACAAATGTTCACTTTGATTGTTTAAGTGCATGTTTTTTCTTCATGTTTTGTTTTGTATTGTTTTCTTGATATTTATTGAGTACTGAGAAATGTATTTATAAGGCTTGTTCAATGTATTTGTGATTTCAAATTACAATTAAACAGTTATTATAAACAAAAAGTTTAAAAATACAGAAATTTAATACTTATAAAAAATCATAAATAAAAATATGAATAAACAATATTTTAAATAAAATATATTTATAATAAATACTCTTAAGATAGAAGTTACATTATAAATTCAAAACCAATTTTATAATATTATTACAAATTCTGTTGGTCTTATGTTAGGCCCGGCCTAATCATTAGGTCCATGTACTATTTTTACAAATATGCATATTTTTATTAAAAAATTATTAAATATTAAAATCAGTATATAAATAAAAAATATAAGGAAATAAATTACTTATCTATACTTATTATATTGATTATGGTAGGAACTTTCCACGTTTATTTCAAATAATTCCTAGACTTCTATGGTAAGTTGTTAACAATAAGTAGAATTTGACATGTTAAAAGGGGGCCGAAGCCCAATAAATAAACCAGTTTATTGGGTAAAGTACCATAATGAAAGACAGAGAGCGAGACCAAAATATGAAAGTCAGGCCTGTTTAAGCTAGGCCGTAATTTACTAACCTTATATGGACTATCTTATAGAGCAAGACCAAAATATGAAAGTCAGGCCTGTTTAAAGCTAGGCCTTTCGAAATTGAGTAACCTCATAGAGGCTTTCCTTCTGAGCAAAACAAGATTTTGGGTCTCTGGAATTTTGTTGAAACATATAAGAAATAATCTCATCGCCATCTCAATTTCTCGCAGAAATTGAACTCTACATTCGGTATTTGTATGAATTTTTAAAAAAATATGTATATATCTTTTCAAGTTTTAAGTTCGAACAATTCCTCTGCATTATTAAAAGTATATTAACTGTTGGTTTGAAATGAAATAAAAAATTCCCCCATCCCCTTATATATATATATATAATTCTCGAATATGCTGAGCCTAAGTGGCAGACCCGCACGTTTCGAGATCCTATTTGTCAAAAAACCATGGCTCGTACTTAGGCTTGGATAGAAATAATTTGGTATGGTATTTAATATTTGGTATTTTTCATGTACATTGGTATATTTCGTATTGTCAAACCAATAAATTAGCAAGAATATTTTAATTATGCCAGCCAAACCTTTTTCCAAATTTATATGATTTTATTATAAGTAAGTGTAATCTTTCCAATTGTTATCTTAGTTCTTTCCATAATCTATAAAAATAAAAAACCATCTGGTTTGCATATCTCATTTAAATTGAATCATTTATTTATATAAAAAAAAAAATGTGGAAAAAAAAAAAA